TTTCAACTCGTGTTTATCATTGTAAATGTATGTTACAAAATTAGAATCATTGCATGAAAAAGCACAGACTCATCAGTGTAAATTATGTTCTGTCACATTTGAAAGTGTAAAAACTGTTCTTAAATCCAGTTGTCCTGGTCTTAATGGGCATTACACACGCACTGACCTCACAGATAGAGATGTAAACTGTATGGTCAATCTAACATGCTGGTTAGGAAGTCTAACATGTGTTCTGTGAATGTAAAAACCTCTTTGTTCCAGTCTTTTTGGGCTCCTTTATTCACAAACCAACTGTGGCGGAGCTACAAGCAGTCAGTCTGCAGAGGTGAACAGTTTCCTATGACTCAATGAGGATGCTGCTGAAGATCCCAGACACAGTCGTCCAGTCAGATGTTTGCTGAGTGCAGGGTGCGCTCCTTTCCTGCGTCACTGCTACTATCAGTCATGTGTAGAGTCATGATGGTACCTAATAGTATTGTACAGTCCCTGGTTTGCCCTTACATTAGCTCAGTCAGGTTCACTTCTAAACTTTGGAGTCACTGGCTTCTTTGTATGTGTGACTTGCTGTAAATATGTGATTATGTGTCTTTTTAACACGGCTTTTATTTTTTTGTATTGTTCTTTCATTCTTAGCTCTGGATCCTGTGCTTGAATGTGAGTCCTTAGTAAAGTCTAAATAAAATTGGACCCATGTTGCTGCTGAAAGGAAGTCTGAGGTGTAAGTTGTTCTGTAAAGGTACATTCAAATACACAACTTGTCATTTTACAGTCTTGTTTAGTTAAGAATATCATTTCCTAATTCATAAATCTATTGATACACAATCCACTAATAGTTTAGTATTTGTTTTAACGGGTTTTCCATTGCGATTCAACACAATTTAGAAAAAAAATGTACAAAATTGTGTCCAAGTGTGTTTTAATTTGGGAACAAACTAATCAAAAATATTTACACTGGAACAGACACACAGAAGATTTACATACATGATGAATTTAGTCTTTGGCCTTCATAATTTGCCAAAACACAACAAGCTGTGATTCCTGAGCCTCGGGAGACAGAATCCCTCTTGAATGTTGCAATCAAATTATTCCAGGAAAAAGAGATGGAGCAGCAATAGTTTTAAGGCGGCTGATATGTAAAAATATATATATGTACAATATATACTGGGCAGGAACATGATCCATGTTTAATGAATACATTTACTCAGAATACCTTTCTGTGAGCCCTATACGATGAAATAACGCCACTTCAAAAAGTTTGCTTTCGTGATTAACCACTGTATCCAAAAGAAGGGACATGACACAGCTGATGACTTGACATTTGGACAAACCTAGTCGGTGTAACGTGGTTGATATTTCTGCATTTGTTTGAATGTTTTAGAAGCATTCTATTGCTGTATCTGCAAAGTCTTCCAACGCACCCATCATTTAGTTCATCTCCACCGCTACTCCACTGTTCACCTGCGGGGGACGCACTTGCGAATCACTTCCGGGGGATTCTTGTGTTTCAAATGGAAATCGCAAAAAGTAATTTAGACGATCATTATTGGTTTAGTAAGTAAGTAAGTAAGTAAGTTTTTATTTATATACCGCCTTTTCACTGCAGATCTGAGTCTCAAAGCGGTTTACAATTGTTAATTTTGGGCATTTGTCTCTCACTCCACACAGAGATGGGAGCGGGGTCGCCAGTACAGGAGGCGCATGCTAGAACTATTGGACATATTTTTAGTGGTAGGGGAAACCGGAGTACCCGGAGGAAACCTACGCAGACACGGGGAGAACATGCAAACTCCACTCAGAAAGGCCCTGGTCCGACCGGGATTCGAACCCAGGACCTTCTTGCTGAGAGGCGAGAGTGCTATCCACTCAGGCGAGAGTGCTATCCACTCAGCCACCGTGCCTGCATTTTCGTTTTAATTGGATCCACAGAAAACCAAAAACAAACCGATATTTCAATGTTGCATTAAATTCAAATATTGAGAATCAAAAACATCCCTCGTTATTCGTTTTTTCAATGTTGGTTTTATTTAGAAAATCAAAAGAACAAATGATACACGGATTCACCTCCTGTCTCTCAGGGCGCGCCACGTCCCGGGGGTCCGGAACGTGGGGGCCGACAGGATGTCCAGGGGGGGCCCACTCCAGGACGAGTGGGGCCTGGCCCCACGGGTAGCTGCGGAGATCTGGCGGAGGTTCGGCCGTCCAGTGGTCGACCTTTTCGCCAGTGCAGAGAACGCACAGTGCCCGTCCTGGTTCGCCTTAAGGGCCGCGGACGAGCCGCCCTTAGGCGTGGACGCTCTGGCTCATTACCCCTGGCCAGGGGGCCTGCTGTACGCTTTCCCACCAGTGCGTCTCCTGCCGGTCCTGCTGCGGAGGATCGAACAGGAGAGGAGGTCGGTGATCCTGGTGGCTCCGGACAGTCCGCATGCCCGGTGGTTCCCCTTGCTGAGGGGCATGGCGGTGATGGAGCCCTGGGCCCTCCCGGACGAGCCGGGGGCTCTAGTCCAGGGGGGAGGAGCCCTGTTTTCACGCCCGATAATCGGCCGCAGGCTCTGGGTTTGGAGGCTGAGAGGCGGAACCTCGTAGACCTGGGTCTTCCCCCTGCGGTGGTGGAGACCATTCAGGGGGCGAGGGCGCCGTCCACTGTGAGGGCCTACGCCACGAGGTGGAGGCTCTTCAGCGTCTGGTGCGGTTCCCGTTCCTGGGATCCCAGGCGTTGCCCGCTGGAGGGGGTCCTGGGATTCCTACAGGAGCTCTTTGACAAGGGGAGGGCTGTCGCCACCTTGGCGGTGTTCGCGGCAGCCATTACTTCGGGTCACGACGGATTCGGGGGGTTAACAGCCCGCTCTCATCCGTTGGTTAAACGTTTTCTGCGGGGGGCGCGCAGGAGGAGGCCCCCGCTCCAGAGAACGCCCCCGGTTTGGGACCTCAGGGTGGTCCTTAGGGGGCTGTCGGGTCCGCCTTTTGAACCGGCGGCGGAGGCGAGTCCCGAGTGTGTCGCTTTTAAGATGGCCCTCTTGTTGGCGTTGGCGTCTGCTAAGAGGGCGGGCGACTTGTGTGCGCTCTCTGTCCATGCGTCTTGCCTGTCCTTTGGAGAGGGCGACGGCATGGTGGAATTGTGGCCCAATCCGGCTTTTCTCCCCAAGGTCATCACGTCGGCCTTTAGGTCGAGAGTCATCAGGATTAGGGCTTTCTATCCGCCACCGCATGCCTCCCCCGAGGAGGAGCGGCGGCACCTTCTGTGTCCTGTCAGAATGCTGAGGCATTACCTGGCCTGTGCAGGGGCATTTATAGAGGACGGTGGCTGGTGATTGGAGCAAATTATTTTGATCTCTCTGGCGTGTGACCTGGGGGTCACGAGTGATATCCCACTAGCGAAGTCCTAAGGGACTACGCACCTATTCGTAGAACTTAAGTTACATTAGGTAACTATTAATTCACAAGCATAACATGTGTTAACATAAAATAAGAATAAACACTTCACTCACAAAATAACAATAACAGTAGTGGACTACAAAACAACTGGTGTAGGCTCACTATAATAAACTCATTTGAAGAATGTAAATGAGAATATAACAGTTAAAAATCTGCAATCACTTTCAGTTAGGTTGGAACACAGCCCAAACCAAATCCAAAACAACTGAGAACAGAACAGTGGTCTTTCTACCCTTTGTATAAACCAAATAGTACATACATTTCATGAGACACCACAAAAATATATTTTTTAAACAGAGGTTTTTAGAATTTAAACAGGAAGTTCTTAGCAAATTAAGGAAGTAATCCGGAAATTCTACAGAATCTTGTCTATAGAGACAGGAAGGTCAGACATCAAGAAGATGGCGTAAAAAGGTTTAGCTTGGCACACACAAAATAATGATATTGCATAGGTAATAATGATGGCACACACGTTTGGCCTGAGGAGTAGGATAGGCGTGATAAATCTGGAAGTGCTCACAACATGTTATATTATGCTCACTACACAGAGTCCATAAATATACATTTTGGCCTAAAGCACCATTACAATTCATTTCTGGTGATAGTAGGGATGGAATAGAACTTAAATCAACTTATGGGCTGCACCCCTCCCCGCCGGGATCTGCTTCAGTCTTGAACCGCACCTGTCCTCGTTCTACATCTTGAGCACGTCCGTCCGTGTGGAGCGAAGTCCTTTCTCAATGTGGACTTCCCTGAGGTTTCTCACTTTTCACTGGGTTGAATATTAATATAATATATAATTTGTTCTCTGTCTTCTGATCAGCACAGGGCACAGAGCTGTAGTGGTGATGATATTCTGTAGAAAACGTTCTGTATACACTACCGTTCAAAAGATTGGGGTCACCCAAGTGTTTTCGATGAAAAGTCACACTTATTCACCACCATACGTTGTGAAATGAATAGAAAATAGAGTCAAGACATTGACAAGGTTAAAAATAATGATTTGTATTTGAAATAAGATTTGTTTTACATCCAAAGTAAAACAAATCGTCAAAGAATCCTCCATTTGCAGCAATTACAACATTGCACCAAAAACCAGACATTTGCAGCTAGAGTAGTCATTTACCACATAAGCAATGTATAGTGTATTTCTTTACAGTTAAGACTAGTTTAAAGTTATCTACAGTGCTTTTCCTTCAAAATTAAGGACATTTCAATGTGACCCCAAACCTTTGAACGGTAGTGTATATGAATGCAGCGTTTTCTACTCTAGGACCAGGTTGTATAACGTGTTGGATTCACAATCTGTTAAATGCGTCAAGGAAACTCCTTTCTTTAATTTTGACCCAAAAGCTGGTGTCCTGGCCGCCATGACAAGGAGAATTCGAATCGAAAGGGAAAAGGGAATCAGTAAGGAAAGGAACGTCCAGGTTTCCTTTAAAATCCCCTTTAGCATAGGAGAATGGGGACGTTCCTTTCATAGCTTTAATATTAGATTGATCGTTTGTAGAGAAAATTACCTCTTGCTGTAAGAAATGGTCTCATGTGTCTGTGTGTGTGTATTTCAGCGGTGGTTCAGACTCTCCGGGACCTGGTGTGGACGTGTCCTCAGTGTTGCGATGCCGTGTGCAGCGCCATCGAGGGCTGTGAGCAAGCCATTCAAGATGCCCAGGTAAGTCGCCTTGTGCATGCCCCTAATATAGGGGAGCTATTATTTATGAGCTTTGAACTAAAATACAACACTGTTCCTTCATCAGTCACATACCTGGAGTTCTTTTTAGATCCATCCACACTGATATTCGAGACTTCTTCCACTAACGTATTGCTCCATTCCTCCTATTATAGTGTGATGTTATTGCTTCTGCCTTTTAAAGCAAAACAAAAATTGCCCATGAAATAGTTTAGTCACTTTCTCATGTGAAATTAGGTTTTTTTCAATCACATTGCTGTCGTTCGTAGTTTTAAGAAAAAAATAAACTAACTTCAACCCTCCCCTGGTGGTAGCATAGGGATAGGGAAGGCTCATGGCAATTTTGTACCCTTCATGCTTGTTTCCTCATTTATTTTCTATAAAAAATATGACATATAAAAACATGAAAATACGGAATTTAGTAGACTCATTATCATTGTTAAAAGGCAAAAATAATGCATAATGTGTTTAAATAGAAAATGTGTCTTAAAATATGCAGAAATGCATTTTTGCATATTTTGATGAATCGTCGATCTCAAACGTCATGGGAAAAGCTGTGTTCTAAACTCTCGATGCCTTCAGTTAGATTGCTACATAGGCTACTTTCACCACCATGATTCAAATCCAGGATCTCCTGTTCACAAGACAGGCGCTTTGACCAACTAAGCCACAGCTCCACTTAAGTACTTTCTCAACTTTGACCTCATTTAAAGTTCAAGTTATCTCTATTTTCCCACTGGGGGAAATTGGTTTTGCAGCAAACAATCATCTAAAAATAGGCAGATACAATAAAATCACAACATTGAAGAAAACAAGAACAAGAGAGATTGTCACAAAGCTAATTTTCAGTGCAAATATGCTGTATAGTGCAATGGTTTGTACAAGTGCTATATGCTGTTAAGGTGCTTCACAGAAATGTAGTTCCCAGCCATTTTGTCCTGCACCCAAGAGCCCTATTGCGTCGTCCTGAGGGTAAAAGTTCAAACTGCTCCATCAGGGGGTGGTCCAAAGAACCAATGATAGAATTGGCCTTCCTCCGCACCTGCTTACTGTACAGGTCTCTGGGCTGAGCCTGTGTTCCCCAGACACCTACTGGCGTCAGTTAAAGTTATTTATTACACGGCTCCTCACAGCAGCAGTAGAATGCTCCGTTGATTTGAATGTAATTTCAAAACGTTCTACCGGTCATTATTTTCTATAACGGACCTCTCAAAACAATAATGACTCGGCTTGTATTTCAGATGCGTGGATCAAGTAGTTCCGGCCACTCCGGAGCTAGCCACGCTCAATAAACGCAAATACCAATCAATCAACACACTTAAATGTTAATCGGAGAATACTTATACGTATACATTCTTCACACGTGCACGGAGATTTTCAGAATTTACCGGTCTTGTCTTCATGACAAAAATACTATTTATCTGCGTCAAAAAGCGATCATGAAAAACCCGGAAGTAGTTCCGGCCACTTCGGAGCTAGCCACGCTCATTAAACGCAAATGCCAATCAATCAACGCAAATAAATGTTAATCGGAGAGTACATTATACATATACAGTCTTAATACTAGTGCACGGAAGTTTTCAGAATTTTCCGTTTACGTTTTCATGACAAAAACACTGATGTAATGTGAGAAAAGGCGATCCCGAAAAACCCGGAAGTAGATACCGGCACATTTTAGGACACATTTTCAGAGGATCGAGTATCGGGAAAGCCTTTGGGAACAATTTTATTTTCTTTCTTATTTTAAATAAACCTTTCGGCATTCCTAAAAGTGGACTGAAGTTTATGTTTTGTGTTCTGTTGGTATAAAGCCATATAATAAGCGGGATAACGTCTATTACGCAGGTCATTATCGGAAAATAAGTACCGGCAGGGCCGAGCGGACCCCGACGCGCGAAGGGGTCTGCTTCCGCCCTGAAGGTACTTATGACAATGACCTGCGTAATATACGTTATCCCTTACATAGAAGGGCCTTGACCTATTTGGTGGCGATCATGCCACCAAAATGCGTTGAAATTGCATGTCAATTCACAACAGTGGGAAAGGTTGGCGGGATGTTTAGACCCATTTCAGCTTTTACCCACAGAGAAGATGGGAACGTGTCAAAATAAAAGGGTTCAAACCAACTTCCAACTTTTACTATTAGTCAGTGCACACAGGACTTGAGGGCATCATATTATAATGGAATGGTTTATCATCCACATGGAGCAATGTAAACATTTTCCAACATATTTTTACAGAACAGTTCAAACTGACTTACTCTTGTCACGCAGACTTACGCTGTCATAATATAATTGATCGAAACACTGAACACGACTTGGCAAAAAAACTCGCAACGCCGGTTGGATGCCGCTGTCACTTTGTGTGTGAGAAAGAGGCGTGGGAATGAGGCTAATGCTAGATGTTGAATTATGAAAGCAGAATGTCCCATATTTACCACTAGATGGGAGTCTAGGAATTTGTATTCCTTATTTCATCTTGACTAGTATATTTTAGGGCTGTCAAACGATTAATTTTTTTAATCGAGTTACAGCTTAAAAATTAATTAATCGTAATTAATCGCATTTCAAACTATCGGCAAAATTATGCCATATTTTTCTGTAAATTGTTGTTTGAATGGAAAGATAAATGACAGCTTAGTGAACATATGTACTGTATTTGTTTATTATAGCAATAAATCCATATGAAATGGAATTAACATTATTAACATTCTGTCTTTCTGTTTAGACTCAGACCAAAACCATTGTTTGTTACAGATGAGGGACATTTCAAAACAGTCTGAAATGCAGAATGTCATTAAATCTGTTTGATTTGCTCACATCATTACTTTTTTTGGCACAACTAACATGAACTGGTAGTCGAAAGGAAAATTAGGTACCTCAGCTTTAATTTAGCGAGTGCGCTTCGGGAGAAGACACGGAGGAGACTGAGGCTCCGCAGTCCAGCTTCAGCTCTGTACATATTGTGTGCATCGGTTACGCAAAGACACGTACGCACACTAGAGAATAGTTCTGTAATAGTTCTGTGCGTGGTCTTGGATATGATCCCATTACGCAGCGCCGTTCGCCGTGATCACAGCCGCTGGAAGTGGTGCTGCTGTCCAGAGCGCTGTCACGCCCGCAGCTCATCATGCAGAGTTCATACAGGAAACTACAAGTGCCCCGCGGTCACGCGTGTATTCTTTCAAAACTTGAATTCCCAGAGGGCCTACCTGCTCTGTCCCCATCTTACACACGCGCGGCATTCTGAGTGTTATTATGGGACGCATGGGCATGCGTCAAATGCGTTAATTTTTTTAACGCGATTAATGAATTTTTTTTATTAACGTGCGTTAACGCGATAATTTTGACAGCCCTAGTATATTTTAAACATTAACATCCATCCATCCATTTTCTACCCTTTAATCCATTTCTGGGTCAGGGGGGTGGCAGTCAGAGATGCCACCCAAGTCTCATAGCACCAGCCCCTCACTGACCCTCTGCAGGTGGTGAGTCCACAGGAGGACGGCTGCTCTCTGAGTGTGAGCATAGCCTTGATCTTTCAGTGGGGGCTTTGGGCAAAGTGGGGTTAAGTGTCTTGCCCAAGGACACAACGACAGCAGTCATCAGTGGGAGTCGGTGGAGAAGGTGTAGAGGTGGGAATTGAACCCACAACCTTCAGGCCTGAAGGCCAATGCTCTACCAACTGAGCTACTGTCGCCCCTAACATATACAACATGTTATAATGTTAATGTTATAACATTAACATTATAAAGAAAAAAAATAAATCCCAAAGTAAATATTTTCAACATCACGTGCTGGGATCACAACTGATGCATTGATATTATTTTGAGTGAAGCCAAGATATGGAGTATTATAGGGCACTGTCTGGTTTCCAGAATGTGCTAAAAATAACCCCAATGACTGATCTAATTATTTTCGGACATACTATTTGTACGACTCATAGAATAATGGTGACAACGAAACACTGCAGCGATTCTTAATAAGGACTGTATGAAAGCAGTAACATTCATCCCACGGCATCAACAAGTGCTAGAGGTGGGCTCATGCTTGTGGTCGGCAGAATTTTTCCCATGAAAATGTAAAAAAGGACACATATTTCTGGGTTGCAGCTGACCTTGCAGCTGGGTTAGAAGTAACATTTGCGCCCTATTTATTGTATTATTGATCAGAACTGTCATCTTGGATGAGCGCGCGAGTGACAAGCTCCATAGTCGTCAGTATAACAGCTGCTTAATTCTGCTCATTCAAAAAAAATATAGACTTATTCAAACTCTACACAGCGTACGCTGCATTGAAAATATTTTTAACGCAAAATAAGAGTGATACTAAGCTGCAAAAAGCCCCATGTCTGCATTTTCCTGCATCGCAACTAATCGGACAAAATCCCCTTTTGGGCCCCTTGCCACGGCCCCTTTTGGTCACGTGGTTGCGAAAAAATTGGGTTAAAATAAGGGCTAATTAATTACAGCTTAAAAATTAATTCATCGTAATTAATCACATTTCGAAGTATCTGCCATATTTTTCTGTAAATTGTTGTTTGATTGGAAAGATAAATGACAACATAGTGAACATATGTACTGTATATGTTTATTTTAACAATAAATCCACATAAAATGGCATTAAGATTATTAACATTCTGTATTTTTTCAGCTCGACATATTCCGCTTCAGCTAAAGCCTCCTCTTTCTTTTTTTTCTCTGTGGAAAAACTAGGTACCCCAGCTTTAATTTAACGAGTGTAGTTTCGAAGTGGGAGGACAGCGTCATTGGTGTGAAGCCGAGCACAGGCCACGGAGGATGCTTTTGTTTGCTATGAACTCGTACAGTTCATAGCAAACAAAAGCAAGTGTGCCGCAGTCACGCGCCTATTCTTTTTTAACTTGAATTCCCAGAGGACCTACCTGCTCTGTCGCCATCTTACGCATTTGTCCGCGGCATTCTGAGTGTTATTATTGGATGTATGGGCATTAAAAGCGTAAAC